CTACAACACAAGAGGAAACAAACACTAAATCACCTGAATGGCATCATGTTCTGCCAAAAACGCTGCGAATAGGACAGTTGCCTTCGCCGCAGCGCTCAGTGTGGCCCCAGCAGGGTGAAGACGTGTCAGGTTGATTAAAGGCACCGCCGCCAGGCTGACCACAATGAGCAAACGTGTCACCCGGAGCAGAGGTGCTGGCTTTGAGGAGTTCTTCGTTACCCGTATGCTGTCTTGAGGTGCGGTGGCTTTTCAACGATGATGTCTCGGCACTTAAGTATTTATGGCAAACCTGACGATATGCCTTGGTCGGAGTTCCTGGTACTCAAGCTAGTCAACAGCAAATGGTCCTTTGCTAGCCAATCTTCTTGGAAATGGGGACGAGGAGGCATAACCTGGAGATGTCAGGTGTTGAGAATATGTTAGACGTTGACCCTCACAAGCATTAAATAATCTCCGTGCATCCATGTGGTATGCATAGTAATATTGCAGAGAACCTCTAATTGAACATCAGTTTACTTGCACATACATGTAATCCACATAAAAGATATTAGTTATGTTGATTGAGTGTGTAATAACGACAGTAAATACACCAATTACCAAGGCATACAGATGACTACATGAATCAGAGCCTCTTAATTCACAAGCAACACCAAAGATGTTAGTGAACAATAATCCTAAAAGAAGCTTTTACTATGAGATTCAATACACAGACAATTTAGTCGGAGTTAATTTGTTACAGTTTGACATAACCGTGATCCAAGTTCGTAAATACACGTGTGTGTATTAAGAAATATTAAGTAGATTTTCTTGAACGATACCAGTTTCCGTTTTCTGTACGAAACGGCACGAACTGGTGCATGGAACACTTATCCAAAGGAAGTAAATAAACTAATTTATCATAACAAATACAATTAGACCAAATGTGAGACGATATTCGCCGATGATATAAGGAGCCTTACATACTGGTTGCCAGACGAAAACCTCAGAAGTACTAATCAGTGTACATTGTACAATCCTTCTGCTTTCACTACACGATGGTACCAGAATGACCATATCCGTTGACCTGGCAAATTCATCGCCTTTTCTACTGCATCAGCAACGAATTAATATGTTACTAACCTTACGTAAAATAAGGAAATCGTCGAATAATATCTGAATTTCATGTCCTCCTTTGGTATTGCCTACTTGTACCCTTAAATTGGAAACATACATTGCAGCAGCACTGGTCGGGACACTGTCATATGAGTGTGGACCACAGGTTGCGAGTATTCCTTTTCGTACAGGCAGAGCTGCCTCCCTCTACTGAGATTATGAAGGAAAGGAAAATTGATTCATTACCACCGGTTTTAAGGTAACAAATAACCAACTAGACGAAGTACACGGTAAGCGTGATTAAATTTACTTGTAACACCGTAAACAACTGGCAGTGAAATGCTACTTGTAACACCGTAAGCAACCGGCAGTGACCTCCAACTTGTAACACCATAAGCAGCCAGCAGTGAAGTGCCACTTGTAACACCACGAGCAACCAACAGTGACCTGCTATCATCAAACATAAATACAAGCAGCGAGCTGCACCACCAAATACAGGCGGTGAGCAGTGGTTCACCGAACAAACTTTGAGACCTAACAGGAGCTGCAAATGAATATCAATAAAAGGACAAGAGGTTGTGGAAATGGATCCAGAGCAACAAAGGGGAAAGGTTAACAAGGACAAAGGTGACCGAGACCCAGAAGTAGAAGTTGTCCCTCCAGAGCTGAACAACCGCGACTTTATGGCAACAGAAGCTGAAGGGGGCCACCCTCTGCCTGAGCCTGAATGCTCAGCACCTGACCAGAATCCCGGGTCCAACATGATGGCAGAAGTGCGACGAACTGTGACTGAAATGCTGGAGGCGTATTTCACAAAGGGGGAAGAAAGGGAAGCAGCACGACGTTTGGAGTTTGGGAATGGCAAATTTGAACAGTCAGAAGGTTCTCAGAACGATTCTGGGGACACAAGTCCTGGATGAATACCGACTGCAGATGCTATTTGTGAAGTGGAAACAATAATAAATAGTCGAACCATCACACCTGCGTCGAGCGACATGAGAGACCTGGAAGCGTTTATGCCAGCCCATATTCTCCACGGTGACCCACATGCTGATCTGCTATTAGGAGGATGTCTTCTGAAAGACTTACATCAACGACGGTGGCGGCACGTGCAGTTCCTAGCAGACCACTTCTGGAAACGCTGGGTGAGGAAGTACCTTCCACTACTCCGCAAAAGACAGAGGTACATAGAACCAACCTATAATCTCCAGAAAGGCGACCTTGTCTTCGTCACCGGAGAAGATTTTCCTCGCAACAAACGACCATTGGGCAGGGTCACGACAACAGTCCCGGGAGCCAATGGTCTAGTGCGCCAGGTGCTTGTGTGAACCGTATCTAGGGAGTTCCGAAGGCCAGTGACCCGTGTATACCTTATTGAACACGCCACACCGTAAATCTTGGGCGATTGCCCATCGCCGGGAGTGTTATCGCTGCTGGCTTCAGCTACAGTGCTGGCGTGTGATGCCATTAAATCTTTCGACCTGTGACCTCGCCAGATGTAGAAGTGTTCACAGATAAGTCCTGGTTCTGCTGAGTGGACTGTCTTAGACTGGTGGCGGTGCCTGCCCGCCCCTCCATGAGACAGATCGCCCTCTCTAGTGATGCTGTGAAGACCAGCCTTCTGTCCGAGAATTTGTGCTGGGACGATTTACGCAATCCTGTTTTCTCTTGGAACACCACACTGATCTACTTTGACCCGCACTTGTAAGTACAGCCTAAGTGACATGACTCCTTCAAGGTTTTCCATCATCAGGAAGAGTCTGATGATCTTCTGTACTCTTCCTGTGACATCATATACAGCTGAAAGATCTTTCTTTGTTAAGAAGAACTATCTCCGATATTGAATGGCTGATAAATGTTTAACTGAACTAGCACTATTGTTTATACACCCAGATATTAACATTTGTGTTAGTGATGTTATAAACAGATTTGCAGATCAAAATCAAAAGAAGCGTCGCATAAATCCTGTTTTATAGATAAATGAATGTATAAATAATTCCTGCCTTGAATACACAGTTTTCATTTTTATTATGTAATTATATTATAAAATAAAATATTTGAAATTTCGATTTTTAACATTTTAAATCAAGGAAAATGGGGGCTTCATTTGTCAGCCCCTTAACCCTCCTGTGGAAACTTTTCCCCCTGGACCTTCACTGGGGTTCCGCTCCAGACTCCCCCACTAAAAAAACCTAGATCCGCCACTTATTAATAGTAAGTTCATTATTTACTAACACTGCAAGCGTGTCTTGTCTTATCAGAAGCTTTTTTAAAAAATTTACAGAGCAGATATACAAATTTCTTTGGACCACTAAAACCCTTTCACTCAAAAAATCTCTGACCAAATAAAGCTTCTCTAACTCCTTTTCCCTTTCGAAATCCATTTTGTTCTTCAGATAACTCACTTTACATTCTAAACTTTATTCTACTTAAAATTATGATTAATAAAAATTTGCAGGCATGACTTATTAATTAATATGGATCTACATATGTATATAATATACAGTATATATTATTATTAATTTGGTAATAATAAGAGGGCCCTCTCATTAATATTTTTTCTCCATATAATGTAATATTAATTATATATCCGATCATTATGTAGCAAACAGTCCAAGAACGCCAGCCATATCTGTTCTGCCCGAGAAGACTTCCCACCCGCTGAGTAACAACATGGCGCCCGATTGGCGCCATGGCACCCGTGTCATATTGTATCACGCCGTAAGGGTGCCGAATATTTTTTTAGTGGGTGTACATGTATGTATCGTGCATGTATACATGTGTGTGTGTGTGTGTGTGTGTGTGTGTGTGTGTGTGTGTACAAGCATCATGCATTAAAAAATTAATCGGCACCCTGAAAGCGTGATACAATATGACACGGGTGCCGAATAATTTTTTAGTGGGTGTACATGCGTTCTGGGACCCTTCCCTGCAGTGCACATCGGAGAGGAATGGCGGAAAAACGAACTAATAATATTAGAATTTGAAGATGTGGCTGATCTTCGTTACATTCTTCGTAATTTTGTTTGTTTTATTGAATATTAAACGTAAATTCATTAATGTTTTTACGGCCAATATTATGAAATTTTCGAGACATTTAGGTGTTTTACTGCCAAGTGCAAGCTCATTCAACTGCCAGCTGCTGGAGTCATTTCACCTTACAATCTCTGTTCGGTAAGCAATACAATAATCATACCATACTACCCCCTGCAGGCGGCAGGAATGGAAGGGTAACCTCAATATCTGTTTTTTCATTTATATTTAATGTTTGAGCTTCCTCTTTCTTCAACTTTAATCTTAGCAACAAGTAAAAAACTACGAACTTCAAATGTGTGGGATTCAGGAGGTTGGGACTAGAATGTGGAGTTTGCTTGTCTCGGAGAGTATAATCATTTGCACCCTATTTAACGTAACCAGCTTAACAAGATATTGTTAAGTTACTTATTTTAAGATGTTCCCAGACCTTCCATCTTTGTAGTTCAGATCACCTATAGCCCTCGACATTGAATTTGGATGTTATAGCATCCAAGCTTCCATAACACATCTTTCTTCATTTTGTAAATTTTTTCCTCGCTATTTAACGGTAGTAAAAATCCCGTTCACTAGGATTTATTGGGCTTGCCTTCACTGGTTAGGAGGAGTGGACGTAGTTCATATTGATGGTCGTCCGTGTACAGTACAGTCTTGAATTTGGCACCTCCGGCATACCAACTGCACTAGCAAGACGAATCACAATGCATCAGCGAAGGTGGACAGAACAGGCTAACCAACACTGCCCTCGACGGTCCCGCACGGAAGGCAAGAGGTTCGACCAATTAAAACTACCGCTTGAAGTAACAATTCCTACCTTGTGGGTTCTTCGTGGATGAGGGAAGCAGGGTGATTAAAACTCCGGCCGTAAGACTCACCAGCAGTCTCATGTCCGTCGGCGAAATCTATGAGGCCCCACGCCAACATGGTGGCGGTGAAGGCCATCGGGAATCCGAACTTCACGTGGTCACCAGCTGTACCAAGAGAAGAACAAGTTATAAACAACAGTTGATATGGCATGTATCAGCTCATATTTCTTGTTTTAATATTAATATTTCTATATCTCTCTGTTTCATTACCTATATAGTAGCCGCCAGTCAGGTTTACGTTTTTGTCAGTACCATCGTCAAGACCAGAGTCGCCGCGCCAGGTGATGCGCATATCGGAAGGCAGAGGACCTGACCGCTGGGCCTCGTAGAACAAGTAAGACATACACAGTACCTGGGAGTGAGAGGCGAAAAGTGGTAGCCGTACGGCGAGGTGGAAGAGAAGAAATCAGTAATGGGGGAAAGGAATGATATTAGGGCATAAGGAGAAAGGGAATAGGTGAGATGTAAGGGATATTAGGAAAGAAGGGAACGGAGAAGAGGTGAAGCACTTAGTGCATATGGGTAGAGGCGAAACATGAGGAGAGACGGGTGAGGGGCATTAGTGACATATAAAAGTGGCAGGTAAGATGCTAATAACAGCAGGTGAAAAGCGAGCAGTTGAAGCCAGATATTGAAAGTTGGGGGAGAGATAGTGAGGGTGAGAGGGGGAAAGGTATTAACAATCAGATTAAAACTTTACATATAGCAGAGTTGATATCCTTTACTTAAACAAAAACATGATAGTCATGTTACTATTAGTCTTTATATCACGATTTTGTGACCAGTGGTCACCTTATATGGGATTCCTTGCTGCAAAATTCCCAACAGAGGAACGTTACAGAGGTACTGACCTGACTGTAGTCGTACGGTTTCATACCAGTTGCTTCACAAGGGTTGTCCTCGGGCGTCGGTGTCGTGTACACGGGCTCAGTTGTGGTGATCACGGCCTCAGTTGTAGTGACCCCGGCCTCAGTTGTAGTGACCATGGGCTCAGTTGTAGTCATCACGGGCATAGTTGTAGTGACCACGGGCACAGTGGTAGTGACCACGGGCACAGTTGTAGTGACCACGGGCATAGTTGTTGTGACCACGGACTCAGTTGTAGTGACCACGGGCTCAGTCGTAGTGGCCACGGGCTGAATTGTAGGTGCCGTCCCGTCTAAAGGTGTGGAAGGAGAAAAAATGAGTGTCTGGTGATGAAATGAAAGAGAGGGTTAGAAGGTTAGTTCTGTTTGTTTCAGCAAGCAAAATACCTATATGAGGTAAGAGTAGTAAAAAGAAGATCTGTACAATGATAGTGATAAAGTGGAGGTAAAAGGCAAAAAGGAAATATGATCAAGTTACTAATTTCTGATAGAGAAACCGAGGCAGGTCTGAGCAGAGTGAGGCCTTTGGGGTTGATCATCTTCTGGAACAATTTCTAAAATAGTTGGACTGGAATTATATCATCTATTTCACTAACATATAAATATATATTAAATGTGCCCAGCTTAGAACAATTATCTCAACAAATCATGTCTGTAAAGCTTCATTACACATATTTAAACAAAAAAATAAAAATAGACAGTAAGTTTGTCTGAAGATGAAGATGAATTTGTAAAGAGAAGACATGTCAGAGAAGTTATATTTGGTTTGAAATTTTTGAGTGAAAGAAGTTTAAAGACTCAAAGAAATTTGCATGTTGTATTGATTTTGGAAAAATGGTCATTAATGTAGGATATATTCGAATTTTAAAACACATTTTCAGGCTAAAACGTAATGGACATACCGAGTGATTTAAAGTTAGAGAGGGAGATTACACAATGCTGCGTGCTATCTCTGACATGTAAAATATCTATGCATTCAGAGTTTTTAGTGAGAAAAGTTGTAAGTTGAGGTAGAGGAATCAAATTGATACTGGGGAAGCAGATGGTATTGCTCTTATTGCATGTACAGGTATTGAAAAAGTATTGCAAAATTTGGTCAACAGCTTAATGGTAAAGGTTGAACAATATGGGCTTAAAGTTAACGTTGTTAGAAATAATAGTAATGATTATATCCTAATTAGAAATGAATCTTAATATATAAAATTTGACAGGTAACGGGGAACTTTAAAAGACAAAAATATATTTGGGAACGACTGAAATATGAGCTGTGATGATAGATGTGAAAGAGATTAAAAATTAAAATGCAAGCTCGACACCATACAAGCTTCTTAGACGCCTGTGGAAATGTTATATTAATTTCAGTTTAAGAAAGATGTTTAAATACTATTATATGGGCCTAAACCCCTGGACATTTCCACCATACCCACGAGGACTTTGGAATGTGGTACAGCGAGCTAAAAGCTAAAGGCAAATTATATAGCTAGAAAGGCAAATGAAAAAACACTGAGATTGGGCGGAATAATGAGAAAAGATATTGGAAATTTATATACTAAGGAGAATGAGATACTTCGACCATTTAATTAGGGATGACGGGATATTGGTAGGATTATAATATTAATGGGCAAAATTGAGGGAAGAAGAGAGCTACGGGAAGGCATAGACGAGGATAGATTAATTATATTAAAGTTGTGTTCCTCAAGACACTGAAATCTTTGAAAATTGGTACCGACAACAAACACCTAACAACACTTCAAGTACAACACATGCAGTACACAGCTCTTTATCATTTCCTTCGCTCATCATCAAGGGAGATATTTTATCGGTCACTCAATATTCAGTGCGACTCCGGGTTACAGTCAAAGTCACAAGGTGAAATTTATGAGTCATACATTAGATAATCCACTATTTTGTATATCCTATTCTCTGGCCCTTTTACCTGCATGTTCACGATCTATATCGTAGACATGAAAATTAGAGCATAAAAGAAGACAAGTAATGGCACTTACTACAGATAGGCACGCCATTCAGTATCTCACTGATGATGACTGGCGTCGTATCGCCATGGAAGTGAACTATGAAGAGGATCGTGACCAAATCGCCTTTTTTCGCGCTGATAATGTCGCTGTGGAGTGTAAAGTGCGTGTCGTCATGCTTGATCACCGGCCCCTGATAAAACTGTCAACGACAAACACACACGTCATACTGTATATCGGAAAAGTTATGAGTTCACGATATAGTGTATCGAAGTTAACATAATACTGTACCTTCTGTTATGTTCTGGGTAATAAGTTCAATATACAGGAGCGAACACAAACACCTGTATAGATTTTGTAGGTTCGATTTACTGGATAAGAGATATGTACACAAGGAGAGTAGCGCTCCTCAGCTTGGCTGCCTGTCAACTGTTCTATAGACGACGTATGGCAAGTGATACATTAGCAGCTTCCATACGTCGCCAGGCACATTAATTAAGCATGTGGGATATCTTAAATACATTGCCACACACTGCTAGCTAGGCTGAATAAATAGTACATAAATGGAGCACATACATAATATACATACATAATATATAATCCAGCATACATAATATACATACACCTCCCTCCCCCCTATACGCTCATAGCAAAGTCTTGAGCGGACCTTTTCTTTTGGATCCGTTCTGAGCGTCGAGGGACTTGATCACTGGGAAGGGTATGGGACTCAACACTGGTGGCGGGGTCAGCAGAAGGCATTGTTACGGGGCGGAGAAAACGGCGGTTCCTCCACCACACACGACCACTGGGTAACCGCACCTGGTAGTCCCGTGACCTACCGAGACCCATGACTACGCCTACTTTGTCCCAACGTAGGGAGGTCGGGTCCTGAACACGGACTTGGGTGCCGACACTCAACCTGGGGAGAGAACGGGCGTGGTCGTTGTAGCGGGCGACGACGTCTTGAACACGTTCGGCGGCTCGGCGATCACAATCCTCTGTCTTGGCCTGCCACTCCTTGGAGAAGGATTGAGGGTGAGCAGGGACACAAGAACGAAGGGGGCGTCCATACAAGACCTGGGCAGGGGAGCGTCCGGTGTAGTTAGGTGTGTTGCGGAGTTCAAGAAGACCCCGTCGAAGGCCTCGCAGTCAATATTCCCAGAAGGGGCCACCTTAAGGATGAGGTGCTTCAGGGATTTGACAGCAGCCTCAGCGTGGCCGTTGGACTGCGGGTAATGGGGCGATGACAACACATGCCGGACTCCCCATCGGTCAAGGAACACAGCAAAGTCCCGGCTTGTGAACTGGGCCCTCCGTCGGTTCGCAGGCGTACAGGAACGCCCACGTCACGGAAGTAGTGGCGGAACTTGCTGATGGTGGCGGCAGACGTCGTGTCATTACCGCACTTGATGACAACCGGCCAACCAGAGAGACGGTCGACGATAACAAGGAAGGACTTTCCTGACACAGAGAAAAAGTCGGCCGACACAGACTCAAAGGGGCGGGTGGGGTTGTCGTCACTCATGAAGGGTTCCTGCTGCTGGCTGGGTTGTAATACTTGGCAGGGCTCACACGCACGGACAACATTGGAGATGTCGGAGTCGATGCCGGGCCAGAACACAGTCTGTCGTGCACGTCGTTTGGTGGCCTCAGCTCCACGGTGACTGTCGTGAAGGCGAGCCAAGGCGTGGGGACGTGATGCAGCAGGGACAACTACACGTGCTCCGTACAGAACAAGGTCTCCGTCGCAGTAGAGTTCATCGCGGAGTTTCCAATACGGGAGCAGGGTGTTGTGAAGATCGTAGCGGTTGCTAGGAAATCCATTCCTCACACACTCGACAAGTCGGACGTAGGAAGGGTCATCTCGGGCCGCTGTTCGAAGGTCCTCCATTGCCTTGTCGTCATCTGGTGACAGGTCCGAACGAAGGGATTGGACGGCATGGAGAGTGACCACAGTCCTGACGGAAAGAGCGAGGTCGGCGTCGAGCACATGGTCTTCTGGAGTAGGGCGGCTGACAGGAGAGCGGGATAAGGCATCAGGGATGCAGAGCTCCTTACCAGCACGCCACACTGCTGTGAAGATGTACGCCGAGAGCTTCTCTTTCAGACGCTGGAGGCGAGGGTTCTCAACGGCGTCTAGCGTGTAGTGGTTGAGGATCGGGACAAGCGGGCGATGGTCGGTCACTAGGTGAAAGTGTTGCAGGCCTATGAGGTAGAACCTGCACTTGGACATTGCCCAAACCACAGCCAACAGCTCCAACTCAATAGTGGCATAGCGCATCTCAGTGTCAGAGAGGAAACACGAGCCACACTGGACGAGCCGGAACTGCCCTCCACCATGATCCTGCAGTAGGGCGTATCCCACGCCATACAAGCGTGAGGCATCTGTCTGCAGAACTGTCGGCAAGGCTGGGTCAAACGTGGCGAGGACAGGTGGACGAGACAGGGCCTGTTTCACTTGCTGGAAGGCCTTGTCGTGGTCGGGGGTCCACAGGAATGTCCTCTTGGGGCTCATCAGGGGGCGAAGTGGTTGAGCAGCTGCGGAGATGTCCGACGAAAACTCTGCTAACTGGTTGACGAGACCGATGAAGGACCTCAAGTCGGTGAGGTTAGCAGGGGTGGGAAAATCCGTGATGGTGCGGACCTTCTCCGGGTCAGCTGCAATACCATTCCCTGAGAGGGTGTACCCACAAAAGTCAACTGAAGAGCTGGCCAGAACAAACTTGTCGGCATTTAGGGTAATGCAGTGCTTCCGGCACCTGTTGAGTACCTCGTAGATACGGCAGAGGTGATCCATATAATCCTCGTCGTACACGAGTATGTCGTCGACCACTTTCACGCAGTTTGCCAGACCTTGTAGAGCCATATCACCTCGAAGACAGAAAGCGTCTCCTGTAGCGGCGAATCCCATGGGGCCACGGCAATAACTGTAACGTCCATGCGGGTTGATGAAAGTTGTGAGTGGTCGGTCTTCTTCGGCAAGCTCTATCTGCTAGTATCCACACAAGGCGTCCATCGTCGTGAAGAAGCGCGCCTTCGGGTTCACACTGCGTATAGCTGCAAAGGGCGTGGGAGAAGGGTGCGCAGGACGAGACACCTGGCTGTTGAGCTTTGAGAGGTCAGTGGTGATCCGAACACCACCTTTAGGTTTCGCGACGACAACCATAGGGTGACACCATGGAGACGGGTCATCGCCGGTTGGTGCAATAATTTCTTGGGCGACCATGGAGTCCAGCTCATTTTTGACCGCCTCGCGGAAGGCCAGGGGAACCAGTCGAGGGGTGTAAATAGCGAAGGGCTTCGCGTCGTCCCTCAGGTGGATCCTCATGGGGGGACCTGCCATCTTCTTGAGAGGCTTGGATTCCAGAGCGGACTTGGTCACCAGAACGTCGCTGAATTCCTTCAGGAAGTGCTTCCGAGCATCCGAAGGAGAGGTGTCACTGGCAAGAGGCAGGAGTAGGGCGGCAGCAAGGTCGTTGCTGCTCCCTTTTTGCACCCTGTGGCGTGTTTTACCTCAAGAATAGGTTTGGGGAAGTCCTGGGAGATGATGGCCAACTCTTGACAATGTCTGTAGGACAGCAAAGGAGTCGGGACACCGTTATGCACATCAATCCAGGCTTGACACGTCCCTTTCCTCATGCAAGAAGGGGTAAAAAATACGTCCAAAATAAGAGCGCTTTGTAAATCTTGGAACTTCATTATTGTGCGGCACCTTCCACTAACCCCCCCACCCCTGGAGAAAAACGCTTTGCACCCTATTATGCCATGGTACTCGTTTCTCACGACAAAAATGTGGAAAATAATATTGAGTTTTAATGAAGTTACACAATATTATTATTGGTTTTGCTTAGGAGACCCTTCACCCCAGACAAGAAAATAAATGAATAAATAAATAAATGAGAAAGTGTGTGTGTTTGTGTGTGTGTGTGTGTGTGTGTGTGTGTGTGTGTGTGTGTGTGTGTGTGACCCCAGACAATAAATGAATAAATGAGTAAATAAGATGCGTCTGTCCGTCCGTCCGTCCGTCCGTCCGTCTGCCCCTCTGCTTGTCTGTCTGCGTCTGTATACCGAGTGTGTGTTTATGTGTGGGCGTGCGTGTGTCACACTACAATCGCCGATTAATCTTTAATAAACAGCAACTCATTAATATGCCAAATAGTGATACTTTGGTGTTTTATTGCTACAACTTAATGAGAATTAATTTGTATCGGGTAAAATTTGCTCTGTCTCATTCATGACGTCTTTAACCGCAATAGGATAGCGAAAGTATACCTAAACTGAGTAAGGTTAGGTTAGGTTAGGTTAGGTTAGGTATGAATCTATTCATTTATGTCTATAATGATTTTTTACATGATCGGTAATGGACGGTCAGAAGTTCCCCCTAAAAGAGAAGGACATAAAAGTTGTCGTTATTAGGCAATTGTCCTAATTAAGTGAGAGAGAGAGAGAGAGAGATATTTGTAATTCATTTTGTATCGAGGTGAAAGAAGAGTCAGACTTACGTCGACGTTGTCCACAGGACTGCTGAAAGTCCAGTCCATAGTAAGGATATCGAAATCAATGGGTGATAGGGCAGTGAGTTCGGCTCGGTAGTTTTCAGACCACCGGTCGCGGATAATAACGTTGTCACACTGAGCCTCTGCTTCTGTAACACAAGAATGCCAATATATAAACCTGTAAACTAAATAATGCATGCTTCTCCTGCTTACAGATCTCCACAAACGATGGCCAATTTGTCCTTCAGAAAAGTTTGTGACAGATGGACTGACGGAAAAAACTTACGGTAAAAATTCTTTTCCATCTGAATTTTTGGAAGACTCAATTTATTATTTATTAGAATGTGGGTAAACGATATATTCGTTCTTGCATGAAACAATCGTCACCTTAACTTGTGTTATAGTTTATACAATTCATCTCGTTAAAATTGCGCCATGAATTCAATTATAAAGTGATTATCTTGTTTTTGTGTGTGTGTGAGTACCTGCATTGAGGAGGGTTATGACGAGTGCCCCCAGCAGGCAGGTCTTCCACAGAGTTCCAGCCATGTCTACGGTTAGAGAGACTACTGAGTGTGGGAGGATAGTACCCACCCTCTTATATAAACCAGGTGGTCGCATTACCCCAAATTCCTGACGTCAAACACACTCACACACACACCACGATATCTGTGAGACTTGATTACACAAATATATCATACTTGGGGTAGTCCATGTGTTGCCTTTCCCAGCGCCTTGCTTTCTCGCACCAGTGACACGGCGGTAGAACAAAAGCACACTATGACGTAGCACCCAAGTCCTGTGTTTATTAACACAGAATAAACGAGAATGATAACCATGAAAGGCATCACTCACAGAGGCACAGCTGATGGTCTCACAGTCACCAAGCAGTTGACGTCAAACACACCTGTGTTAACACCTTTTGATTTACGTACAGTAAGAGAAATAATTTAGTAAATGCCTCTCCAGGCATTTAAAATGTTCCCAAGCCCAAAAATTTCCAATTGAAAAGAAATAATAATAATGTCAAAGATTATGTTATGAAAACCGTAACCATGTAAAATTACTTACATCAATGAACTTCTCTGCTTGGTGGTCTTCAGTATTAAATTCATTAACGAAGACGTACTCTCGTAAAATTTTATTGTTTTGAAGAAAATAAGTGACCATCACCTGCGGATGAGGTAAAACAGAAGAGTAAACTGCACCGACACGATCATCCCTGACTGTCTCCCTGAACATTTGTTTACATTGTATCAGGTGCTTTCAGTGGTCAAGGAGACATGTGTTTAAAGTGTGCCGATGTGAAAGAATATCCATAGTTTTCTTATTCTTACACCGGCTGCAAGTAGGAGTATACAAGGAGGCATCGAGGCCAGTGCTACAGCGGTACAGCAATAACACTTGTGCCTCTCAATAGTGTATCATGGGTTTGATTCCTACTTGGCTCGGACACATGTGAAAAGGATGCCTTCCCATAAAGCCCCGTCCAGAGGATGGAGCAGTGCCCGGCGGGCTTCTGTGCGTTGTTGTACACACGGGGGTGGTTGGCGGCAGTGATAGTCGGGCGCCGGTAGCTAGTAGGTGGTCGGCAGTGGCGGGTGCGGTATGATCACCATTCAGTTTTTCTCTTCACTTCACTTGTGGTAACTGAAGTCCCACTTCTCTTCATATCCTCTGTAATCGCAGTGAGTGCCGCTGTACGTTTGTCCCTATCCCTGTAAGTACGCTTTGACATTCCATAGGCAAGGGTGTTGGCGATAGAGTTCAATTAACAGCATGGTATCTTCTCTAGACCAATGAATGTTTCTTTGTTCTTTGGTGGAAGGAGGGCTAGACATGGTACAGTGGTGACTGTTGTGGCGAGACAGAAACTGACAGCCAGGGTCCCAGGGTCAACTTCGTTTGTCTGGCAGAGTCGTCCCTCCATATCAGGCAGCAAACCACCAGGCAGGCGGACCATGATTTCCTTCAACGACGGGCACGGGCACTCCGCTGGTTTGCCCGATAACGGACATTTAGCCCGTGCCCGCCTGGCACTGCTTGATCTTGTGGACTGGCCTTAAGACCTTCCCAAACATCTTAGGTTTTCTCCGGGTTCTCTGGGTTTCTCCAGTACTAACACTGGACACATAAAGTTTGTGATATGGTAACAAAGAACAGACGAACTGCCTAAACGGCGAGTAAGCTGATAAGTGGTGAAATGATAAATAAAAAATAAAAATAAAATCGAATTCATCCATTTATTTACAGTTGGGTGCACTGGGAGTTTCCTGGGAACTAAGCAACCACTGCACCTTGCTTATGGTAATATAAGTTAACTAATATTTAAGACAGAACAATATTAAATTGCGCCCTTAACCAGAAGCATTGTTGCCCTTTAAATTTGTGAAGAAATCTATGGGGTAAAAGTTCAAGGTTAGTTGCCCTTTTTTTATGTGGATAAGTTTGGGAATCATTTATGAAACTACAAGTATACCTCTGTTTCCGGCGAATGTAAATAATCCATCACTGAATTACATTTCGTTTAGGCAAGAATGTACTGTACCAGTGATTTTTGCAAAAAAAAAAAAAAAAAAAAGGAAAAATAGTGTTTGCATTAGCCCTGTCAAACAGAGAATAATACTTATATAAATGTGGGCTACATACGTTATGTTTATTTAATTCCATCACTCACATAACTAGCATATGAGCAGTGAGTAGTCATAACTGTACAATGTACACCCGGAAACCATATTCTCTAGCCCACCTTGGTCGGTGCTGGAGGTTAGTACAGTGCCCTTTCTGGACGGAGCCCACTCTAACTATCACGAGGCAACACAGGCACGAACACACACAGTCATAGTACGGCTGTATAGATGACATTATGTATAAATATTGTATATGGCATTTTATACTCTGCATTATCTTCATTATATATGAACACGAAGAAAAAATACCATAGGTTGTAGTTACGAAAGTATGAATGGAAATATACACTTCCAAACGACCCAATGACTCCACACAACGTTTACAGCGCTTGTGTGTGTGTCTGTGCCAGACCACAATGCTTCCCATCATTCGCATAACTATATGAAAAATCTTGTTTAATTTAACTACATATTTCAAAAACCTTAAATTACATGTGGATCAGTTACTCCTCATTTGACACACTTATAGTGTAATACTTTGACCATCCCACCTGGGCACATGGAGGCCCACGGTAACTCTCATGGGGCAACATACGCACGAACACACAAATTATGATATGAACCCTTCCAGGCTTCACTATCATTATCATGTTATGTTCATCGTGCTCTGTATCTTGGTAACTAGTTATAGTATCAATTCATGACAGTGTTATTAGTATAATATTGTAACTTTTACCCTACAGTTATTGTTGTAAATCATGGACAGGAAGGATACATAAATTGTAATATCAAGTGTATGGTTCACTCAAAGTCACCCCAAGTCAGACAACGCGTCACACAAAGTTACACTATGTGTGTGTGTGTGTGTGTGTGTGTGTGTGTGTGTGTGTGTGTGTGTGGGTGTGGGTGTGTGTTCTGTAACATTAAGCTTCATCCTTAGTAGGTAAGATGTTTCATAAAGAGGTTTCTCCCATTCGTCATTGTGAGCATCGTCCCAGAGCACATTGTTTCCATCAAAACCATGGTTCATCCTTATTTCCCTTCTTCCGTGTAACTATATCCATATGGTTAAGTGCTTGCTTTTCATTTCTTTATTTACCAAAATAATGTGGATCAGTTACTCGTTGTTTAACACATACATGCACTTTGAGCATCAAGATTGTTTTGTAGGCATGACTATTGGTTAATTGAAACCCCAAAAATATTTTTCACATTTATTATGCATAAACATTGTAAGCATATCTATGTGATTATTGTAGTATATAACATATATTTAATGTCTGGACAGATTCCCAAGAGATATGCATTTTAATGCATAGATTTTGTAAGCATATTTATGCGAAATGACGTAAAACCACATAGTAAAATACCTGGATAAATTCCCGAGAGTTAGGAAACGAAGTCTATGTGGCCCCAACGAAGTTTCACCAGAGAGCTAACTCCCCCGCCACCCCCTACATGGCACCGTCGTGGGCGGAGATTTAATTCTTGACCACAGGTTAATACCGTGTCCAACCCCCATCTGCTGCTATAACTTCATGCAATCTGGTGGGCATGGAATCTACCAGATTGTTGCAGATGTTCGGCCTCCTCCTTATTCCCTCCCACACATTATGTGCGTGTCTCCTCACTGCCTCACTCGTTTTCTCCTCAACATCCCATTCAACAACCATATGCGCCCATAGATTCTCTATTGGATTACAATCGGCTCCTTTAGGGGGCCAATTCCAATAGAATAATGTGCGGGTGCGCCTCAAACCAACGGTAGACTGTCCGACTTTTATGTATTGGACTGCGGTCTTGCACCATACATATAGGCTGTGGGTCTGGGATGGCATATGAGTTGCTGGGAGGATGGTTAGCAGTCCTGTTGAACTGGCAGGTAGACAAAATAGAAAACTCACAGCTAAACTGTAAGAAAAAACCCATGGACAATGAGACATTAGTAAAATATACTAGGTCATATATATATATATATATATATATATATATATATATATATATATATATATATATATATATATATATATATATATATATATATATATATATATATTTATATATTTAACTCTTCTCAACAAATGCAAGGATGTTGCCCCGTGAGAGTTACCGTGGGCCTCCAGGTGCCCAGGTGGGATGGTCAAAGTATTACACTATGAGTGTGTCAAATGAGTGACTGATCCACATGTAATTTAAGGTTTTTGAAATATGTAGTTAAAGTAACACGATTTTTCATATAGTTTCGCGAATGATGGGAAATAAAAGATATAGATGGGGTGTGGTGGAATCATCTTGGTCTGGCAACAAGCGCTGTAAACGTTGTGTGGATTCACTGGGTCGTTTGGAAGTGTTTATTTCCATTCATACTTTCGTAACTACAACCTATGGCAATTTTTCTTCGTGTTCATATATGATGAAGATAATGCAGAGTATAAAATGCCATATACAATATTTATACATAATGTCATCTATACAGCCGTACTATGACTGTGTGTGTTCGTGCGTGCGTTGCCTCGTGATAGTTAGAGTTTACCCCCGTCCAGAAAGGACACTGCACTAACCTCCAGCACCGTCCCAGGTGGGCTAGGGAATATGGTTTCCGAGTGTACATGTGACAATGTTATCACTGAGCGCTCCGCATCTTGAATGCTTAGGTCAGCAATTAAGTCTGTACCAGTCTCTCACCCACTTTAAACGTGTATTCACGAACCTCGTTACACATAGCTTCATCCTTCATTAACGCTCATAGCTCATAGCGTTAATTACAGCAATATCCTAATTATTGTGCAATAATTAATTTTCCTGATAAATGGGGGAAAGACGATTTAGGTTTGAAAACTTAACCTATAAGCATTTATGTATGTTACCTCTAGTGTACCTTTCATACTGACTCTTCAGAATCATCATTAGTGATTACAACAGGTAAACGGTAGGTAACATGCTTATTGGTCTTTCAC